ACTAATTTATTTCATTAAATTGAAAATGTTAATTATTTTGGACAATATGTATAATTCTACTTACGGCTGATCCACGCTCTCCTTGCATACCTGGCATACCAGCAGGTCCTGGGGCTCCAACTTGTCCACGTTCACCAGCGGGTCCTTGGGCTCCCTGGCTACCGGAATCCCCAGACATACCAGGGGCACCTGGAAGACCTCGGACACCAGCTGGGCCTGGCATACCCTGTGTGCGACAAGAACAGTAATATGATTCACATAATTAATCACAACACAGTATACAAAATCAAGACAATGTATACACAACATCAACCTTTACCTTTTTTACCTATATCAAGACACTGTATACAACATCAAGACACGGTATACAACATCAAGACATAGTATACAACACCTGACTTCAATTGTGTTTGTTAATTCACTAATATTTATTTTCATTATTAAAAAAATCCAACAAAATGTTTATTCACTTACCAAAATACCTGATGGACCCGATTCACCTGGTCGTCCTGGAAGACCTTGGAGACCCTGTGGGCCAGGAGAACCTTCATCTCCCTTATCTCCTTCTTGTCCTGGCATACCTGGTGGTCCTTGGCTACCTTGTCGTCCTGGGCTACCACTGTCTCCACGGAGTCCCTTCAAATTTCAAAATTTATATCAGTAGTAGAACATTAATATTAACGCCAACTTTCTAATAAACCATGAGTTTGAAATCATTATTAGAAATTTAATTTCCAATGTATTATTCAACATTATTTTACTGCAAATACTCTGGTCTTCACCATGAGCTCTTGATGAAGGTCAGACAATTTGTTTGGTCATATAATGCAGATTTATACAATATATAAGTATAATACTATTTCAATGAGTCTATATATCTTATTTCTATTACTTACGGGTTGTCCATCTTTTCCTGGAGCTCCAGTAGAACCTTGGGCTCCAACAGCTCCCTAAAATAATTGAATACAAATGTCTTTTATTTCATTTTTATTTCATTTATTCACTTCTTCAAAAAGGACAAAGGGCAGACAAAAAACAAAAAAGAGGCTGGCTTCCCAAAAAGAGATACTAGATCTCTGTCGAGTTAACAAACACAATTAAAACAGTAAATATAAACATTATAATTTCATATAAATATACAATACATTATTGTTGTAATAATAATAATAATAATGATAATATAATCGATAAAAAGATTATATAGAATTTTAAATATAAAAGTTAAAATAAAATTAATAATTGAAAAATCATTTATAATCTATCTGATCTTGAAATTGTGGAATCGGCTATCGCAGTGGTTTGGAGTCAGTCAGTAACCCAAACTTAAGGAATTATGTCCAATGATTAATGTTTTGAGAATAGATCCCTGGCAAATAATAATTTATACAAATTATATAATAAACAAAATTAAATAACATTCGCATATATTATTTTTCTATATTTACAATTCTATATTAATATATTAATTCTATATTTATAGGCATTATATTGTCAATTAATGCTTATACCCTACAGTAATTCTTTGAGAAATGCATAAATCTGTTTGATTAATAAGTAAAACTTACGGTTGGGCCAGCTGGGCCGACGGGTCCCATTGGTCCGGGAAGTCCAGCAGCACCCTGCGAAATAAAGTATAAATGTTTAACAGATATTGTAATAAAAGACACTATTTAAGTCATTAAAAATCAAAGAGACAAAAAATTAACTTCTTCCATTTATTTATATATAAAATTGTGTGATACAGAATGATATAAAGTTGCACAGGACATCATATGATAAACAATATACACCAAAATAAAGATGGATTATTAAAAAGTTTATCTAAAAACCTCATTACATCATAGAGGAAATGCAAAAATATAAACGTATGAATTACTTACAACAGCACCACCTTCACCTCGCTCTCCCTTGGGTCCAGAAACACCTGGAGCTCCCTGTGAAAATTCAATATAGAACATTAAACACATTACCACAAAAATAAATTCTCAATAATTATATAAATCACAATACTATTATAACAATTGACTAATATGGTATATTTAGAATAGAGTTTTGATATTTTAATAAAACTGAAAAAAAACCATGTTTATTCAAATTCACAAGTTCTATCACCATGGTTTCTTCTGGTAATATAGCATTATCGCCAAATGGCCGAGCGGTTAAAGCAGGGGCACCGTGATCATAGCCAACAATATTGGCACGGGTTCGCGGCCGGCTCGCTCCTATAGTTCTGGTGGTGGAACAAGTTTTCTTATCCCTATAAACCGTAGGCCCAGTGTACACAAATGCTCATGTGCACTTTAAAGAACCCAGTACATCTTTCGAGATGAATAGGGGGTTACCCCGGTGTACTGGTTCATTCGGCCCGTCATGGACAGATGAAAGTGCGCCGGTTTACTGGCTGCTGAAGACATGAAGTGACCCTTAGGGGAGGAGAAAGTTATTGTAAAGTGCAACATCTAGTCCCGAGCGCATAGAGACCATGTATTATGCACTATATAAGTCTCCAACCATTACCATTACCATTATCC